GTTTATTCTCGGCAAAGGCCAGATCTCTTCTGGATGAGACCCTTTCCTAAACAAGGAGGCATGAATGAAAATAAACGGCCACCACTGGAAATAATGATGTGCAATGGGATCTTTATCACAGATCAGCACCGTTGATCTGTGAGCCAAAGTAATGCCATTTTGCAACGCCAAAGGCTGGCTGCAACAGCTGGCATGTGGTTTTACTTGTGCGTGCATGCGTGGGTGTCGCAACCACATGTCATGACACCCCTGCCCCATCTCCCCTTTCCTCTGTCAGTCTCACTCTGTCACCTTTTCCCGCTCTCTGTCTTCATGCTCCACTGTGTGCATGAGTGGAATACAGAACGGTATACATCTTTCTGTATTTACCACACATGTACACGCTCCCTCTTGGCACAGCAAAGACTGAGGCGGTGATCTGGTTTGCATTTCTCAGCAGGGAGGCAGACCGGCTTTGGCCTCTTTGTCAACAATATGAAATGAAATCAGATCCCGGGGACGCCTGTCTCTGAAAATTGGAAGCGCTCAGGCGTGTGCAAGAATAAACCTGGGCTATATACTCCTATCTTGCCGATCGAGGAGCGTATCCATTCCCAATCGCATTCAATCCCCGTTGAATAAAAACAAAAGGTCTTTTTTGTTCTCATTAAGGATTTTTTTCCCTCCTCTTCCTACTGAAATCCAAACACAGGAATAATACGATTTCTTCACAGCTGGCTGATAAACCTGCTAATTATGCATGGCTCACAGTCAAATGCCCATTGATGTTTTTGTGTGTCGCCGTCTTCTATGTCTCTTGCTCCCGTTTTGCCCTCGGGATAAACGGGTGGAGCTGTTAGAATACTCATGCATATCGTATAGGCTCACAAACACACACAAAGACAAGGCTGCCACAAAGAGGCTAGCCAAGCAGAAATGAGAGGTGATGTCACACATCTGGACCCCCCCACCCCCTTCTGTCTGTCTATCTTTCTTGTAAAGGCCAGGGCAGTCCCCCAGAATCACGACAACCAACTGCGCCTTTAAGACTGTTGTGTCAGGTGTTGCATATCAGCCCGTATGAATCCATAGGGGACAAGATGGTCGCCTCATTTTTCTAGCTGCAAAAGGTCTGCTATTTGTGTCTGTCAGATCCAATGCTCTGCTATTACTGTCTGTCAGATCCAATGGCTGTTTCAGTCCGTCTCAACCTGGGCCCAATGTGCTGGAAGGAGACTCTGACATGGTTAGGTATCCCTGTATGTTGTCGCTGTGGGTTGATAGTTGCCCAGAGGCAGTTTGTGAGGCTCTAATGGTGCCTCATTTTCATTGAATATGATGTTTTGGCTCCTGTGCTAC